CCCTTCCCTTCTCCATGGTTCCTTGGTGCTGACATCCCACCCTGGCATCCTGCGCGCCAGTCCCCAGGATCATTGGCAGGCTGGGGAAGGTGTTTCCAGGGGTGGCTTCTGTCCCTTGGTCACTGTGCCTGGCTGCTGCCCCTCTGCCTCTTGGGAAGCTCCTCATCCTCCCCTGGTGCCCTGCCCTGAACCAGGCAGTCCCTGCAGGACCCTGCAGAGCCTCAGAGCAAAGTGTCTCTTAGCTGGAACAGGGCTCTGAACCCCAATAGTCTTTCCCCTGGCCTCGATCTCTTCTAGCCAGTCTTTCCCCTGGCCTTGAATCTCTTCTCAAAGCCCTTCTAGCTCTTGCAGGCTCAGCCTGGGGCTGCTGAGGAAGAGGAGGCTTCCCTGGCCTGCCTGCCCAGGCAGTGATGCTGACTCAGTGTGGGGGGAAGCACAGTGACATGAGTTACCCACAGCAACACCTTTTGCTTTTCCCTCCCTCTCTAGCAAGTGCACATTTGTATTGTTATTGTTGTTGTTATTTATGATCCTGTTTCTGCTCCAGTGCTGCTAAGAGACATGGAGAGGCCTGGCTGCTATTCAGCCTGGGCACAATGAGCCCAAGCCCTCCCTTTTGTTCTGCTCTGCTGGCTCAAGTCTTGTGTGGATCCCTCACTTGGGCTGCTTCTCTCCCTCATCCCCGGCTGCTCAGGAGGTTTGGGAAAGGTCAGCTCCTAGCTGCAGCTTTTTTCTGCTCCAGACAAGTGCTGCTCTCATTGTTTGCCAGGAGCCTTGCTGAGCCTGGGCTCTGCAGCTTGGGGCTGCTTTGACCAGCCCGTGCTTGGCTTTAGCTCTGCTCTGCTCCCAGCCCGGCTGCACAGCCTGGCCCCTGGCTCTGCAGCCACTTTGGGAGCTTGAACAAGTGCTGGGAGATCTCACCTCCCCTCTGCCACCAGGGGAACAAGCCCCAGTGAACTGCAGCCCCCAACATCCCAAACATTCCCAAGCTCAGAGCTGCCTCTGGTTCACTGCTGCTTTCCAGTGTCCCCCCCTGCAGAGATGTCCCCCCTGCAGAGATGTCCCCCCATGCAGAAGTGTCCCCCCCTTCAGAGGTGTCCCCACAGCTGTCTCAAGAGCCTCCAGCTGCAGTGTTGCTGTGGATGAGGCTTGGCTGAGACCCTGGTGTGTCTGCCCAGTGCTGTGGAAAGCAGACTGGGAGGAAAAAGTCTGGTCACTGTCCTGGTGCTGGTGTAAAGGTGCAGTGTCCTGGTCCTTCTACACACCCCTGGTGCAGGTGGGCAGGTAGATGATTTCCTTGCCAGGCTGGGGAGTACCATCTCTGCACTCCTGTCTGCCTGGACAGGTCCCTGTGTTGTACCTTGGCCTGATGCCCAGCAGAGCCCAGCTCTGGGCACCTGGAGTGGCAGCAGTGCTGGGAACAGAGTGGTCTGCAGCCCTTGCTTCTGGGCTGCTTTTGCCAGCGTGGGCTTCACCAGCACTGTTGGGAATCAGGTCTGAGAGGCCCTTGCCCTTCTGTAGGCTTGGTTAGGTGTTTATTCAGACTGTGATGTGCAAGCATTAGGACAAGGGCACTTGGTGCCTTGCTTGTTGCTGCCTTCTGCCCTCACCCAGCCCCTCTACCTGGGGTGGCTCTGCACAGGGAACAGGAGGTGAAGCCTTGGTCAGACCTGAGTACATGGAAGAGCAGCCTCTACTTTTTTGCTTCTGATTTCCCACCCTTTATTCCTTCCACATCAGGGATGGTGACACTTCTTGTATCCTCCCAGGTAAAACTACAGAGAGAAAGAGGGATAGAGAGAGAGATGCTGGGGAGGAAGGAAGCTGCCTCTGAGTTTCATCCTCTGCAGAGCTTGTTTGGTTGAGTCATCTTAGCAGGCGAAATAAACCTGTTTCATCTCCTGGGTCTGGCAGGAGAATTGAGGCATTTAGCTTCATTCTTGTTGGAGTTCTGACCTTGCCTCATCCAACTGCATCCCAGCTTTGGATGGATGAGTTCTCAGAATCATCTGCTGTGAACAAATAGGCCTCTACACTGGGAGCACCAGCGGCGATTAGAAGTGAAAGGAGCTGAAATGACCAATTTGCTTGTCACAATTTGTTTCCAGTTTGAAGCGTTTTCTTCTTTCTCACTTTGTCCACTTCCCAGGCAGGAGCACTGAGACTCAGGGAAGCTGGGTCCTTGTGACAGGGTGCCTGGGGGTGGCACCCAGCCATCACCCTGCTCTCCAGCCTGCTCAGGTGTCCACAGGACAGGCAGGATGAGCTCCAAGGCAACAGGGTGTGGGAGCTGCTCTCCAGGGATGGAGCTCGTTGGCAGAGAGTGGGAAGGTGTCTGTCAAACCCGGGGCTGTAACAGCTCCCTTTGACAACACTCACTTGATATGGAACAGGAGGTAAATAAATCCCCTTTATATCATCATTTGCTCACATATTGGCCTATTATGTCCCTTCTCTGTTTATGAAATACGATTCAGGGGGCAAGGATAGACTGAAACATCAATTCTGATAAAACATCAGCTTCCTTTATGTGGCTTGACCCAATTAACTTGACAATACTTTGTGGTCTTGTTGTCTTTTCTCATTGCTTTGATCACTTCGAGATTCTTACTTCAATGTGGGCAAAACAAGTACAGGGAGGATCCCTTAAAAGAAAACACAGGTTGGCTCCGAATCTGAAAGACAATTTCCTGAGTTTCTTTGAAGCAGAGTCAAAACCATGAGCCATGTTCTCAGTTCTTCAGAAGTCCTGTCCAGTGTGGGAAGCTTTTTTCTGCCTCCTGCCTGCTGCAGAGAACCCAAAGCAAAAGTGCTGCTGGGTGGGAAGGAGATGCACCTGCAAACAGCAACGAGGGTCTTAGGATGGGGATTTTGAAGTGCTGCCCTGAACTGGATCCCACTGAAAACTTCCCCAGTTTGAGTGGGACCAGACCTGGGTTGGCTGTGCCCTCCCCTTGGGTGTGTGAGGCTCTTTTCCCACTGAGGCAAGAGACAAGAACAGAGGAGCTTAAGAAAGGAGAGAGCTGTCCCTGTCACATAGCTTGAAATCCTGGGCATTCTTCCCAGCTTGGTTTCCCTGAACAAGCTGAACCTGGGTCGGTGTGTCCTGAAGGCAAGTGCCTTCATACAGGCACCTCTTCCCCCCCTCCACCTTCCTGCAGGTGCTTGGTTGAACTCTGCTCCAGGCTGGATCTGCATCCCAGACCTGCATCCTTTCCCTTTGGCAGCTCTGATCTCTCAGACAGCTCCAGCTCTGCCTCCCCAGTGGATGAGGTACCACGCAGTGACACTTCAGCTCCACAGACCTGCTGGGTGAACCCCCTCTTGTCCTGCTTTTTGCATCCCTCCCTCACACACCTCCCCAGCCCTCTCATCTCAGAGCTTAACAGGCTCATTAGCAATTAAAGGAAGGGGAAAAAAAAAAGAGAGAGACAGAAAGAGCAGCAACGGAAAGAGCAGGAAAGACTATTCCAGAGTGCTTCATAAAAATGATGAATTGCTTTTAGATATTGGGCAGGAGAGAAAGAGAGTTCTTTTTGATTTGATTATATTAGTCTCTTAGTGCTGCGTTTCTGCCGAGCAGATGAGCTCAGAAATCCCGAGGCAGTCAAAGGCAAATGCCTGGGAATTGAAGTGTAAATGAGCTGCTGTTGAGCATTTTATTTTGCCTTTTATGATTTCTCTTTCTCTGGTATGTAGGTCAGTCCCCACCTCTCAGGTGTGCTGTGTGGCTGGGAAGGTGCTGGGCAGTGGGGACTGCCCGGGGCTGTGGGTACTGGTGCAGGGACTGTGTGTGCATGTGTGTGTGTGTGTGTGTGTGTGTGCATGTATGTGAGCCCAGCAGTGCCTGTGGGGCGTGCAGGGCTGTGCCCAGGGCTGTACCCAGCAGGCAGAAAGCTCTGGCATCTCTTGCTGTCCCTGTCTCACCTGCAGACAGACCACCAAGGCTGGAGACACCTGCCCTCTCCCTTCCTCCCTCCAGCCCAAGAATTCCTACCACATTAGCAATTCAGATGCTGAACTGGTCTGTGCTGGCTGCTCTGATTAGTGGATGTGATAACGTGCATCTCCTTCAGGGAGACACCAGGCACGTGATTTGGCTGCTTTGCATAAATGGCAGTGAATAAAGCAGTGTGTGTGGTGAACAGGTAGAACAGGTGAGGGGCTTTTCTTCTCCCTTCCTTGCCTTTCTGTTGGTGGTTAGCAGAAAACACAGCGTGTTGTGGACTCAGAAAGGTTTGAGCAGAGGAGCCCTGGGCAGTGCAGGTGCTTTCTGGAGCCCTAGGGATGCTCCTCCTGAGATGGGGTTGGAGGCATCTCACTGATGATGACCAAGGGAGGACCTTGTCCTCCCTGCTGTGGTGCACAGCTGGTGACAGACTCTGCTTTCTTCAGTTCATGCTTGAAATAAGCAGAATGGGCAGACTGGAGTGAGAAGGGGCACAGAGGCTGTGGCAGGGACAGCCTCTCTTCAGAGAAAGCTTTATCTAAGGCTTTACAAACTCTGTTGTCCATCCTGCCCTTGCCAGTGGTCTCTGTGCTGTCAACTCCACACCATAGCAGTGCTGAGGTTACCTGTGCCCTTCCTTAGTGCCCCTGCTCTGGGTGTGGGCAAGAGGTGGGGGCTGGGGGTGCAGCAGCCCTGACAGGGAAAACTCTTCTTCTCAGACATGTGGCTTTGGGGTGGGTGGCTCTGGCAAGGCTGGCTCAGCCCCCCTTACACTTCCAACACACCCTTGGTGTCCCTGGAGAAGGACCCAACCTAAACAGCTGGTTCCAGGACGTGATGGTGGCATCCACGTCCTGAGCCAGGACCTTGCTGCCCTGGAGCTGCTCCTTTCCCTTGCTGCCCTGGTGCCTCAGAGGGCTGCAGCCTTTCCTCCAGCCTCCAGCTGCTGTGAGGAGCTCTGCCAGGGTGGAGAGGGGAGGCAGGGGTGGGAGCCTGGGCCGGGGTGCTGCTCTGCACCCTTCCTTTTTGGAAGGCAGCAGCCCTGGCTGAGGCCGGGGGATGCTGTGCGGCTTCGGGGCGCTGTGCGAGAGGAGCTCCACAGACCCTTCCCAGGCCTCCTGTGTCTGCAAGAAGACAGCTTGTCCCGTGGTGGTGGCTCCTGTCTGCGGCTCCGACTATTCCACCTACAGCAACGAGTGTGAGCTGGAGAAGGCCCAGTGCAACCAGCAGAGGAGGATCAAAGTCATCAGCAAGGGACCGTGCGGTGAGTGCAAGGGCGGTGGGAGCCCGGGGGGACTCACCCTGAGCTCCTGTTGTCATTGCTGGTGATGTCCTGGGGGTTGAGGACAGGTCTGATGGGAAGGGACACTGAGAGAATCACCCGTGGCCACTCAAGGTGTCTGTGACAGCCCAGTGGGGAAGAGCCCTGCATCTCAGGCAGCTGCACCAGGCTGGTCACCCCTGCCCTGGGGGGGAGTTGGAGGGATGCATAGGCTGGGTGGGCTCATCAAAGCCCTTCCCCAGCCTGGCATTCACCACCAGCTGTGAGCAAGGAGCTGTGTAAATGAGAGCCCAGTCTCCCCATCTCAGAGTAAATTAACTTGACCTTTCTCTCCTGCAGTGCTCTGGCTGGCAATAAATCTGCACCCGGGGCTCCTGCTGGGGCTCTTGTCAGAGGGGAGAGAGATGAGTGATTTATTGAAAATAATAATCATAAAAAAATTACAAATAAAGAAAAGGAGGGAAAAAAAAAAAAAGAGCAAAACCAGCTGGCAAATAGATTTTGGCCCTTCCCCATCAGTGAGGAAATTGCTCCTTGAGCTCTTCCTCTAATTACAATTTGCAGGAGGTGCCTTAAGGACCCTTGTTCTGCTCGTTTGCTGAAGGGAGAGGCTCTCAGAGCAGGGAGAGGAGCTTGAAGCAGCCAGGCTGAGAGGGTTCAAAAGGAGGGGCTGCCTGAAGGGCCAGGTGGGCAGTGAGCTCCCTTCCTCGTGTGCCCCATCCTGTGTGTTCCTGGGCACCCAGAGGAGCTGGGGCTGCCTCGGTGGGTACCAGGGTGCGCTGAGCTGACTTGTCCCCTAAGAGAGGGAGAAGAAGGAGGAGCGAGCAGAACGGTGGCCAGGAAGCACAGGCCACTGTGCTCATTCCGTGCCCTCTCCTCACCCCCTCCCAAGGCTCCAAGGACCCCTGTGCAGAGGTGACCTGCAGCTTTGGCAGCACCTGTGTCCTCTCTGCTGACGGCCAGTCGGCCAAGTGCGTGTGCCCCTCGTCCTGCAGCGCCGCGCCCGAGGGCACCGTGTGCGGCAGCGACGGGAAGGACTACCCCAGCCTCTGCCACCTCAACAAGCACGCCTGTGACAAGCAGGAGAACGTCTTCAAGAAGTTTGATGGCCCCTGTGGTGAGTCCCTTCCCCATCCCCCTGGGGTTTTTTTGCTTTAAAATGAGTTCCTCCCGCGTCAGGAGCGCGGTGGGAAGTGGTTGGGTTGGGGAGGAAAGCCTGGGGGTGTTCCTGCTGTCAGCAGCTCAGAAGTGAGCTGGGCAGGAAGGTCAGGCTGTGGGTGGCAGCTTCTGAAACTCACACCAAGCCAGGGCTTCCAGGCTAAAAAGTGTTGGGGGAGTTCAGAGAAGAGAAGGCTCCAGGGAGACCTTAGAGCACCTTCCGGAGCCTGAAGGGGCTCCAGAAAGATGAAGAGAGACTTTTTGTAAGGGCAAGGGGTGATGGGATGATGGGAATGGCTTTATGTTGGCAGAGGGGAGATTTAGGTTAGGCATTAGGAAGAAATTCTTCCCTGTGAGGGTGGTGAGACACTGGAACAGTTTACCCAGAGAAGCTGTGGCTGCCCCATCCCTGGAAGTGTTGAAGGGCAGGTTGGATGGGGCTTGGAGCAACTTGATCTAGTGGAAAGTGTCCCTGCTGATGGTGGGTGTTGGAACTAGATGATCTTTTGGGTCCCTTCCAACACAAACCAGTCTGTAAGTCTATTATTTCCCCACAGCATTTGGCTGTGGACTTTTCTGCTCGGGACCCACTGACCTAGAGAGCAGTGGGAACATCTGTGCCACATCCTTCCCTTCCTGCTGCTTCCCCTGGCTGTAGTCCCCTGGCTGCTGCCCTTGGCAAGGAACCTGCTGCTCCCCATGACCCAGGGCAGCTCCCTCATGAAAGGAGCCCAAACAGGCACCAATCCCACAGCACGAACACAGTCCTGCCACTCTGAGCATGGCTTCCTCTTTGGCTCCTGATGGCTGTGGATGCTTGTAATTAAAAGCAAGTGTTTTCATTAGGAAAACCATGAGATCAGCCAGGACACGTGCCAGGCCAGTGTTTGTCCCCAGGGAAGGGAGTGTGGGAACATGTTTGGGCAGGCTGAAAACCTGGAAGAGCTTTAATTGTGCTTCCACTGCTCAGTCCCAAGTGGGGCAAGATGGGTACAAGTGGGAGGTGAGAAAGAGGTGATGCTACTCTCTTGGTTTCTAGGGCAGAGAGGAGGCTTTGAGCCTTACTGCTCCTTGGAGGTCCTCCTGATTTTGGCTGGCCATCAGCAGAAGTGCAGACAGCCTGGGTTGAGCTGCTGGGCTGAAAATACTTGAAGTTGTTTGGACTTTATGTGGTGCACTGGGAGGCTGGAGGATGGACTGCAGGGGAGGGGAGGGAGAACCCATGCCAGGTGTTCTCATCATGCAAGAGGTTTTTGTGATTTTTCTTGGGGTTTGTAGAGGCTTCCAAGGAGGTGACACATCCCTGGCTGGCTGCTGGTGCAACTGCAGGGCAGCTCTTGCCAGAGGAGAAGTGGGAGATGGATTGGGTAGGTCCTGTGAATGCTCCTGCATCTGCTTCGTTCCATGGAATGGAACAAAGCAAATGGACAAAGCAAAATACTTCAGCTGTGGCCCTGTCCTAGGCCAGCTTCTCCACGGGGTGTGGGGACAGCCAAAAAGGGGGTCCCTCACCTGCTTGTGAGAGGCTGGGAGAAATGGGGTGCTTGAATTTCTCCTCCCCTTGTCAGCCCTGTGGTGAACGTGGGGATTTCATAGTAGGATTCCAGGGTGGAAACATTTGCTGGTGTTTCTGCAGAAAATGAATCAGCTCCCTGCAGGTGCTGTGCTTGACAAGCAAGAGGACAATCCAGGGCTAGAGGAGGGATTAGGGAACAGAGGGCACCTGTTCTGCCTGTGGTTTTGGTTTGCTGCTGTGAGCTCAGCTCATCAGAGAGGGGGATCTGGATAAGCCTGGATTAGAGCAGTGGGGCAAGGCAATGGGTGGCCCTGGGGCTCTTCCAGAACTTTGGGAAGACAGGGAAGGAGAGAGGGAGGAGCAGGATGGGGGCAACAGGCATCTTGCAATGTCCAGGAAATGCATCTTGGACTCAGGAGGTTTGCCTGGGTTAGGGTACAGAGCTGTGTCCAGTAGAAGAGGGGAGGGAAGACAGCTCCAGATGGGGGAAAAAGGCAGAGCTCATCCCATCCAGCAGTCACAGGACCACAGAATGGTTCTGGCTGGAGAAGACCTTTAAGATCATCGAGTCCAGCCATTAACCCAGCTCTACCAATTCCAGGGCTAAACCATGTCCCTCAGCACCTCCTCTGTGTGTCTTTTAAACACCTCCAGGGATGGTGTTTCAACTGCCACCTTGAGCAACCGGTTCCAGTGCTTAATTAACCTTTCAGTGAGGAAGTTTCTTCTAATACTCAATCTAAACCTGCCCTGGTGCAACCTGAGCCCATTTCCTCTTGTCCCTTTGGGAAGGGCACCTGTCCCTAGTTCAGAACGAGTCCTTAGGTGTGGGGAGTCCTGGGGAAGAGCTGATACCACCTTGGGTGCTGCTGGGGAAGGCGCAGAGCCTCTTGGGGACAGCCAGGAGGGAATCACCTCTCAGGGCAGGGGGTGTGTGTGTGTGTGCCTAACCCTCTGCCCTGGCTCTGCACAGACCCCTGCAAAGGTGTCCTCAACGACATGAACCGCGTGTGCCGGGTGAACCCCCGCACCCGCAGGGCAGACCTGCTCCCCCGCCCCGAGACCTGCCCCCCGAAGAGGGAACCGGTGTGCGGCGACGACGGGGTGACTTACGACAACGAGTGCACCATGGGGCGCTCGGGGGCCATCCGGGGGCTGGAGATCCAGAAGGTGCGTTCAGGGCAGTGCCAGCATCAGGGTAAGTCACCTTCTCCTCCCTGACCCTTCCCCGCCGCCCCGCGCTGTTCCCGCGCCCGTCGGAGCGCCCCGGGGCTGGGTGTGAGCTGCTCTGTCCCCTCTTCTGGGCAGACAAGTGCCAGGAGGAGTGCAGCTTCAACGCCGTCTGCCTGAACCGCCGCGGCAGCGCCCGATGCTCCT